AAAAAAAAAAAACCTTTCAAAAAGATAAACTATGAAAACACAAAATACCATTGCATTTTAGTGAGAAGTAGTCCCAAGCCAAAGCCATAAACAAATGTCATTTTGGTTAAAAGCGGCAAAGCATTTTGTATTTATCATGTTACTCACAGCCCTATCCACAAACGATGTCTCTAAAACAGCCCTGGGAGGAAATGGACGATTCCATTTGTGCCATGGGTGCTTTTGAAAATGCAGTACCCTCTGTGTTCTACAGAACAGGGGCGATTTCTGCAGTTCAAGTGCACGAGACAGTAACTAAAGGTTACAAGATCTCCTTTCATTATTCTTTTACTGCCACAGACACTTTTCCCAGATCTGGAAGTTAGCTGAGTGAACCATGCTCCATACCTTCACATTTACCATTGGATGGGAAGATGAACATGGACTTAACCAAGAAATAAATGGAGATGAAAACTTTGCCTAAAGATAATAACCATAACTACTATAGTTCTTGGCTCTGTTATAATACACATTATCAGAGTAAATCCCCACAGTGTCCTTGGAGGTCGGTCCTATAATTATTCTTATTTTACAAGTGAAGATAGTGTATTCATGGAAAGGTCAAGTAACTTGTCCAAGATCACACAGGTTTTTAAGTGGGGAATCATAATTTGAACCCAATCAAGCTGGCTCCAGGCAGTATTAGAGACAGACCCAGGTACCTGTTTGAGTTACACTCCATACTTGCTAGGCCATCTCAAGCAGGCAACTTAACTTTTCTGAGTCTAATTTTCCTCTCTGTAAAGTGGGAATAACAACTGCTAACAACTCCTAAATTTGTGGAGCATATTAAATGGATCACGTTTGCAAAGTGCTTGGCACAGCATCCTCAGTGTGGCTAGCATCTGCCTTCCATGAAATCTTCTCACATTTCTCTGAGATGCTAATCTTTGGACCACCTTGCCTCCCAACTGATAAGGTACCTCTGTCATGAATGCAGTTGAAGGGGTGGGGCTGGGACTTTCCAATGTCCCTAGAAGTAGCAGAATGTCAACAGGTGAAGACACAGGAGTAGTAGCATTCCAGGTCAGTCCAAAAGCATTCATTGCATTCTTTACTGGTTGTGTGCCATGTACTCTGCACCATGCCAGGTACTGGGGTAACTGAACTGCTGAGACACTGTCCTGTCATCAAGGAGCTAAGCACATGTGACAAACCAAATACCCAGGATGCAATCTGGATGGCCTGTTTTGGGGCGCTGTGGGGTGTCTGTAAAGTATAGGTGAAGTGGAGCTGCAGTCATGGTGCTCACACTGTGTGCACTGCCCACACCATCAGGACCTGCCAGTCTGTGCCTCCTGAAATCCTGATAGCCGTCCATATCTGTATCTTCAGCCAGAAGTTCTAAACACTAATTCTTTGCCTTTAGTGATTCTCAAATGCTCAGCCATGATAAAGCTTTTGATAAACATCTTTGCAAAGTTAAGCCAACATCTCTTAAAGAGGTGTTCGAGCTGCATCAAGACACAGCCCAGCACATTCTTTATCTTGAGGAGCCCAGCATGACAAGGCTTCCTTGTTGAAACCATGTGTTTAAAAAAGTGTCAAGTTAGATTTTTGAGGGTGGAGGAAATCTAAAACAATCAATCAGACTTTAGAAGAAGCCTGAGTTAAGATATGATAGTCACACTTTTTTTTTAAGAGGAGAAATCTAAAGAACTCCAGACAAACACTGAGGCTTCCTGAGATTACTTCTTGCCAAAAAAGACAAGGACAAACATAAATGTTATTTCCTACTTGCATTTGAATTTTAGAAACTAAAAGTTTTTCATCAACTTTCAGCTACTCAACCCTTTGTAGCAAGCAGCTAGTGACACAATAATGCTACATAACAAAAACACCCAAAAATCTCAGGGGCATTCAACAAGAAACATGTATTTCTTTATGAGATACTTGAGATATTACTCCATGTGTCACATCCCAGGATACACGATGTTACTCAAGAGACTCAGAGTAGTCACCAGCCATGGTACGCTCTGTTCTCACAACTGGTAGAAACACATGAGGGCAAGCCCACCCAGGCAAGTGCATGCACCATACCTCTGCTCACATCACATGCAACTAGCATCCCATTGGCCAAAGCACGTCACATGGTCAAGAATTGTAAAAGTACTTCACCTACCAACAGGCCATTGCAAGGGTGTGTGTGCATAACACTACTACAGAAGAGGGAAAGCCCAGTATTAATAATCCACTTTATCACACTTTCTAAACACTCCTGAGAGGAAGGCATCATTGGCACATTTGTTCTTGACAGTTGAGTAAATACCTCTTACTAGTCTGCCCAAGCTGGGCAGACAGCATGCTTCTGTAGCAGAGTTAGAATTCAAATCTTCGCCCTCTGTGATTTCTTCACAGAAGTGGCTTACTGACTCATAATTAGCAGGCATCTTTAATAATCACATCCTTTGAGTGTGCTTGCTTGCAAATACCAATTCTCCCCAACAAAGCCAGATCCAACATTGTCTCATCTCCCAGCATAATCACAGACATTTGGCTGGGACCTTCTGCAAGGTTTTTACAAGTCATTTTTACTGTTGCTACACTAATAAATTATTTATGGTGGGAAACCTAAATCAGAAAATCTTGGCTACTTGAAAACAGACTTTATTAAAAACATGTCCTTTCCCCTCTCAGCCCAGTTGCACAGGGCACGCATAATTCCTATGCTTCTCAGCCTTTAAGATCTGATGAGACAGTGGAGGAAAAGCTGCCGGTGGTTATAGGACAGGAGTATGGAAGTTGGAAACTAACTCTTGGGCACATGGTTTATACTCTGCTGCTACTGCCCTGTGCCGGCCAACCAATCACCAAATGGATCAGGCTGTGAAGTGCGCTAAGTAGATGTGATGAAGGGCAGGAAGCCACCCAGATGCCAGAGCCCTGCACCTCCACTCATTCAAACAAGAAATGGTTACTGAAGGTCAGCTCTGGGCCTCATAGGATTCTGGCTGAGATGTCACCAGAATAAGAGGACCAGCTCTCATGGAGTTTACATTCTGCAGAGAGGGGTGGATTGTTATCAAAAACAAAAAGCAAAAGCAAACTGTCTTTCAGACCATACTAGGGGTTGAGAAGAAAGCAGCCATGTGGCACTGGGCAGTTACTCTTTTAACCCCTCTCTGGCACCCTTCATCTGAAAACCGGGCCAAGTCCCACTTTGACCTCTAAGAGGCTTAGGTTCGTAACTAAGACAGTGCACCACAGTCCTCAGGCGGGCATCCCAGGCTCTTCTCTTCACTTTCACCAAAATGAAAACAAAACTCATGACCTGATATTCCCCGGAGAGGATCAACAGCCATAGAGACCAGGAGGAGGCCAAACTGGGGAAAAAGAGGAGGGTACAGTGGTTTCTCAGAACAAAAGCCCAGTCTCTACGCCCTACAACGAGGTTGGACAGGGGGCAGGACCAGGAAGCCCCTGCCCTGCTTCCTCGCTGCGCTGTGCGGAGGGGAAGGGGGGACGCACTCATGCCGCC